CCTTTACTACTTCTACCCCAATAACAAGGAGACTGGGGATCCAACAGCAGCCACAAGCGATCATTTGGGCAAGCAATCCCATCAGGCTGAGCACCTAGGCAGGGGGTGTTTGTGTATGCAAATGAGATCAGCTCCTGAAGTCTTTTTCCACAGATCACCACTAGATGTCAGGGGAAAGCTCATTCAGACTCTGCTTACATATCATTTTAGAACAGTGGTCTCCAAAGTGGGGTGCGTGCACCCCAGAAGGTGCACAAGACCATCCCTGGGGGTGCGCGGCAGGAGGAGCGCCGCCAAAGGACTGCTGCCGGAACGGTGGCAGCAACGCTCCCAGACCTTTGATTCTTCGGCAGCCCGCCGGCGGCAGCTCGGCTCTCCCCGCCCCGTCTTCGGCGGCCCGCCGGCAGCAACTCTTTTGGGTTTTTTTGCTTCCCTAGAGCTGGCCCTGGGGGTGCACGATCCAAAAAGTTTGGAGACCCCTGTTTTAGAATATTACTCAAGGGGAGAAAATTATTCCCTTAATATGCAGTTTAGTCCTGGGCTGGAGGCAAAATCCCCCATCCCCCATCTCCCTCTTACAGCTACTAGCAGGCACAGGGTAAAACTTCAGGGAGGTCAGCTCTATAAGATATACCTGATTGGGTAAACCAACTGATTACAAGCCTGAATACAAGTGGATCAGCTGGGATGAGTCCAGGCAGATTATCCTCAGGCTGTCAAGGCAACCAGCGTGAGGACATTGCTTTGTAGCCCCTTTCATATTTGCATGGGGAGTTTCTCTATGGGTCTGGGAGAAGATGAGTGATGCTGATGGAAAGCACCTGAGGAGGGGCTTGGCTTCCCCAGGTGAAAAGGAAATATTTTGGAAGAGAGGTATAGGAGCAGAAGGAATTGATTGGTAGAAGAAGTTGTGGGTGGAGTAAGGGGCACTTTTAAAATTCCACCAGTATCTTTAAGTAGAGAGGTTGGTGTTAGAAGGGTGTGTGAGGTGGTTTTATGGTAGTGGAGATGGCCCAGTACACCTGGTTTGTCTACTGCAAGCTGCAGAATTGGGGCTGGGAGAGGTGGTCTAATGTTAGCAAGGGGCATGCAGGCACAGACACACACACATCACACCCAGTACCAAACAGGACCTGCTGAGTAAAACAGAATGTTTTTTTATTTTAGGGCTTGGAGGCTGAGAGGAGCTATTGTATTTAGGGCTACAGAGTCCTAGCTTGGGCTACACTATAGTCTATTCATGTTCATAACAGTGAGCAACACCCTGACGATATTCAGCAATGTTAGGTTTTGCTTTAGCTATCAAGAGAGCTGGCTCACGGGAGTCTAACTGTGTTTCAGGCCAGAGTGAGACCTCATCCCAGCAAACAGATCTTGGTCCATGATTTTCTCCCTTCAACACTGTGCCAGTTGAGAGGCAGTGACAAGTATTCTTAGGAAATGCCGAGTTCCACAGTTATATATCCAGAATCAAACAAACCAACTATGAGCAGCATCGCATTCTTTGCCTGTGGTTAAGAGTTGCAGCTGTCACTCCTCTGCCTGCTGGTTTTATTAGTACTATCTCCGCCAGTGGCCCCACTGATTCCACTGCGGCTTGCACTGGTAGTTATTGATTGTGCCCCATAAGGAAGAAGTGCAAATCTCAGACTTGCTGTCCCTTCTCCCCTGGAAGCTGTAATATTCAAGGCCGTAGTGAACACTGGCTCGACCATGGCTGTGCCTGTTGCCCTACCCTGGACGTTTTAGAGGAGGATATGGAGGAATGGGAGGGAAAGATGTGGGAGGCTTCCAAAAAATCTGATGCTAGGATGGATTGACCCTGTTGAGTTGGGTGTGATATCCTTAGGCCTGGGGAGGCTGTCTACTGGTTCACCTCTGGGATGCACGTGTGAGACTCAGGGCTTCCCCTAAGGTGATGTGAGTATGACCATATATCATGGATGCTGCTGACCTCCTACAGGGAAAACTCTTCCCTGAGAGAGCTAGTCACCAAAGAACTCCTACAGGGGAAGCCCTGTGTTGAGAAAGAGCTAATGAGGGAAACTTGGACTGAGAAGCTGAAAAAAATCCCCCCTCCAAAGAAGGCACAAGAGGAAATCATTATTTCCATGCTAGACCAAAGCACAGCAATCTATGCTGCATTTTCTTTCTCCTGCTACATGGACAAGAACAGGATCTGGAAGGACAAACCACCACCATCAGAAATTGCAGCTGCTGCTTGTACAGGGCCTCAAGGCAGAGACCGCAACTGCAAGCAAAACTAGGCATAGGACCAGCTGTGGCATATGTATTCCTCTCAATTAAGGAAAAGAATGACTCGAATTATTACAAAGCATCCATGTTACATGCACGCTGTGCTTTGTCCATTGTAGTTTGGAAACATCCCAGTCACCCGTCCAATGCTCCAGGGTCTCTTGACAAACCTGAAAATAGATCTACTAATAAGCAGTCAGACAGACTAACCAACCCATCACTTACCCCAATCAAATCAAATTAACCCAGCAACAATATGCATGTTGCAAGAACTAACCAGTCTCCACATACTGTCTCCTCTAGGGTGACCAGACAGCAAATGTGAAAAATCAGGACAGGAGATGGGATATAGGAGCCTATATAAGAAAAAGACCCGAAAATCAGGACTGTCCCTATAAAATCGGGATATCTGGTCACCCTCCTGTCTCCGCTGGAATTCCACACAGGAGGGGCCCTAGCTGTTTTGCCACCCAAGGCACCCTTTGTTTTAGGCACCCTGTTTGCCCAGCCCTAGAATCAGCCCTGATCTCTCATCCCACCACTACCCAAGCCTGCCCCAGGCAAGGGACCCCCTGCAGCACGCCCTGCAGGCTGACGAACTCAGGCTGTTACCGACTTGGGGAGGAAGTGAGTTGCAAAAGTCCAGGGCACTAAAGAGACGCCCTACCAGCTGCTTCCTCTCTCATATCAAAGAGGCTTCAGCTCAAGCACCTCTGCTGACTTCGAATGTGGTGCGTGTTCTGGGGCCAGAGACAGCCTCTTAGGCACTAAGTGCCCTCGGGCCTGCCTTTATAGGCCAAAGCAAACATCTTTAGCTCAGTCTGGAAACTAACAAGCAGGCAGTGTCTGTCGTAGCGTGTGGGTTTAATACATAAAACAAGGCACTGCCTGCCAAGTGAGCTGCACCAGCTGCAGGTTTTGAATAGATGTAAGGTGCATCCCCTTGCATACCAGGCGACAAAGGCATCCATGACAGCTGGAGGGTCTATATCCAAAAGAAATGGGCATAAACTTCGAGCGCTCCGTTGGTGGGGAGAAGGGCAGACTTGGTTGAGTTAGAGGAAAACACCATGCTCATCTTGCTGGGTTTGCATACAGCTGTTCCTGGGCCTCTCTCACATCCTGGTTCTTCTTTCTTCTCAGAGTCCTAGCTCCCAGAGTCACGACTACACAATGGCAGTATTCACCTTTTCTTTGTACTCTGTCAGCAAATGTCTGTGGGCTGAGAACCAGCATTTTGTGCTTTAGGCAGTACAACCAGTGTCATGCAAGCTGTATGCACAGAGCATAAGGCTGTAATTAGCCTTGGAACACATGAAACCTCATGACCAGCTCTTTGTGGAATCACCTTTTTGACCTACCCCCATTTAGTGTCTGACCACACACGAGGGCAGCAGAAAGAACAGGCTGTTCAGCCTGAATCACATCTGTGGGTTTTGCTGACACATCTACACCACCCTACTGCTAGTAAAGATGTTCCACTTCTTCCTTAAACCTGGTATTCTCTCTGCCAGTGCCATGGCTGATGTTAAAAGAAGAGGACAAAGCAAACTATTATGCTCTTCCATACTCAAAGGACAATGACGCGCTGTCAGTCTCAAAAGTCATGAGTCAAAATGGAACCCGATGTGAGGCTCAGTAGCATAAAAATGGTTTTATCAGTAGTGCATCATGGCCAGCAACCATTGAACTTCTGAGGTTTGAGATATGCAGGAGATTAGCTTATGATGGCTCATGCTCGTAGCTTGTGTGTTACTGTGTACAGTTCAGCACTAAACGAATGTTAGAACTGTGGCTTCTTGCTTGAGATGCTAACAGAAGCCCTGCTTTGGGTCACATTGAGAATCTTGGCAGTCAGGTGCTACTCTGACACACTGGTCTCAATGGCAGACCAGATGGGAAATCTCACAGCCTTCTCTCCTCAGCAGACCTGTTCTTCCTGTTCTAGTGAGACTTCCAGGCCAAAGAGATTTAGATGGGTTCAGAGAAACACCAGAACTTTTGGATGATGCTCCAGTCTGAACACTGTGAGGTTCACCAAGACTAAGTTATGGTCTCCTGGGTGATCATAAATGAAAGAAGCTTTTAAGTTACTTCGGCCACCATATCAACTTCATTTGACAAACACCGTGGGGCATTAATAGAAGAACCAAGATTAATCTCCAGCAGGGGGCTATTAAAGGAAAGGGTTTGTTCTAGAAATGGAGCTGAAAGAACATTTACTTCCCACTGACTTCAAATAGAAATCTGCCTTACAGCACTGCCGCAGAAAGCAGGTGACATACCCAGGCCGATCAATTAAGTAGATCAAAAAGGCCTATGGAACTAGGAGCATGCTGGTAATGGTGGAATTCACTGAGTCAGGGCAGGCGCTTGCCAGAGTAGATCCCAAGGACTGTTTCCTGGTGCCCCAGTGGCTCACATTCCAAACATGCTGGAGTAGGGCAGAGGAAAGGTGAGGCATCATGTATGGACATGGAACAGCTACTTTTGGAAAACCCTGCTGGAAATCCGGGTAGTTATCTGACAAAGAAACACTGCACATAAAAATTGGTTCGTTCACACTGCCCATCCTTTCATCAGTACTACCAGACCTTCAACTATAATTGAAGGCCACAGCCTAGTTACATCTCTCCTGAAGAGCAGAGAATGTGAAATGTACATTGCTATATAAGTGCTAAGCAAGAACTAACAAACACAGCCACTGCAAATCAAATCCATGTTTATTAACCTAGAATGCTATTTCTACAAAGCAAGTAAAGTGTCAGTAATTTAACAGACTGCTGAAGGTACATATGTATAGAACAGTGGTGCTAAGTTGCAGTCTGGTAGCTCACAGGAGCCTCATTTAATCAGCCATGTGACACAACACAGTTATAATCCAGACAAGGAAACAAATGCAAGAAGCAATTTACCTTATTGTTAAGCAGTGTAAATAACATAAGAAAGTAACTGAATTGTTGGAGACCCCAGGGCATGGCCACTAGTTAAGTCGAGGGGATGGAAGGCCATAAGGGTTGAGGAAGTCTCCCTGCTGAAGGCCTAAGGGCTTCTTCTCAACCCCCCTTAATAGAACTCAGGCCTGGCTGGTTTGAGTAAGCTCTTTTGCTCTTAAAACAATGTTGCAGCCGCAGATAATGCCTTATAGTGTAAGGTATGCTGACGCCAAGCTAAAGATAATAGGAGATAGTTACAAGGCCAGACAGAATGTGCTGGTTGTTTAAGTTTCTAGAAATGCTTGTTAGAGGTTGCAGGAAATAAACATTGTTGTAACCCATATAAGGAAGGCAGAGTATTTGTGCAAAGTTTTAATTGCCTGATGTGTAGTGCAGTAGCATTAAGGAATATAAAAGTGTGTGTAATGACCTGCTTTGGTGTGCAGGATTTGAGAATCTATTCTCCCTGTACCTTGTTTGCAGCTGCAAATAAACTTTTCTGCTTCTCCACCCCGTTGTGATTATTGAGTGAAACACACCGGGTAACGAACCCCTGCTGTTGTTTTGCCTCTCGGCACTGGGTGCTGGCAACAGTAGGATATTATTAGTGGGAATGAAAGCAGATTTCAAAAGAAGAGGCCTCACCGTGGTTGTGTGTGTGTTTATGTGTGCAAGTGCTTGGGGAGGGAAACAGGGCATTGCCCTGAATAAATCTGTTTCTTTATCTTACTTTTCCCTAATTGCAAAAAGGCAATAAGATTCCATTTGAGTAAGAGTTCTGAGCAAATATTCAGGACTTTATTATCTCATTCAGCCCAGCCAGGTTGCCCATACCTATAGTTACCTGTGATCTGCTGGTCAAGGAAACAGAAATTTCATTAAAAAGAAAATTATTAAGAAAAATGTATTTGTTAGCCTCTAAGGTGCCACAAGTCCTCCTTTTCTTTTTGCGGATACAGACTAACACGGCTGCTACTCTGAAACCAGAAATTTCATTGTTACCATGTACTCAGTGGCAGACAATACAGAAATTACTTCCAAGGGTAGCACAATATCGAACATCTTTAGTTACACTGATAGTAAAATAACAAAGAAAAGAATCTTAAGATTCAGCCATTGGGTAACAGAATAGTAACTTAAAGATTGCGCAGCAGTGGGGTCTGCACAGTGGTTTTCTTCACCTTATCCAAGAAACGTGATCTGTTCTGTGCATTGTGTGATATATCTTATTCAGAGCATGGGCAGCATGTCAAACCAGTCTGCAAAATAGGCCTGAATGCTGACCTCATCTGGTCCATGAAGATATTCCAACATCATAGAATTTAATGGGTGCTGAGGGTGCTCAGCACCTTGCAGGATTGAGGCCCTTAGATAATAAGGTGAGAGCTGCCCATGATAAACAAATTCATCTAACGTCACTGAAGTGGAAGATGATGCATTCAACGTCAGTAGAGATAAGAGAAGAATTGTCCCCTGTGTGTTCAGTTGTAATGGGAGCTCAGGAGGAAGACTACATTAGGAACTCTTGTTACTGTAATAACCACTGGCCCATTACAGTTTTGAAAACCTGCCAATAAAATCTCCACTGTGCTGCCAAAATAGCACTAGTCAGTGGCAGCGTGATTACAACTTGGCTACCATAGTGGGGTTGCTCAGTGTGTTGCAAGGGTAGATTTTGACTGAAAAGACTACTCCTATTGCATGCTAAAACTGGAGCTGGTATTGCTTCAGGACTAACCAATCACCGCTCTGTGTATGGGAAGTTCCAAGTTGATCATCTGTCACATATTGGCATTTTCAGTAGTAGTAGAGGAATCCCCCCAGTACTCCGACCGCCGTGGCTGTGTTATGAAAGGAACATCCATCTGCGGAGAAAGGTGTTGAACATGGCTTACATGATGCCTACACAGGATGACTTGTATTCCCCTTCTTCATTCCTTATGCATTTGAAAGACCAAGGAGGCCTACTGCTAAATAACAGGACTGGGAGTCAGGACTCCTCTATTCTTTTCCCAGCTCAGCCACTGGCTTAGTGTTTGACTTTGGGAAAGCCAGTGGGGCTCTCTGTGGTCTAGTTTTCATAGCCGTAAGATGGGGACAATGCTACATTCCTACCTCCCAGGAATATTGTGAGGCTAAACTAATGTGTGTAAAGTGCTTTGAGAGCCACAGAGGGAAATCCTTATAAAACTGCAAAGTATTATTAAGAATGTGAAATCATCTGCATTTCTGTGTGAATGGCTTTAGTCAATGTGCCTACGTGCATTTGATAAATGTACAGGATTTCTGAATAGGATATGATCAATTAGAGGAAAAGCTAGCAACCAAGAGGATTAATATTGAAGTTTCTAGATAAGGAAAATAAAAGGCATCATTTCTGGTGTCTGCAGGTGTTAGATACCCTACTGGTAGAATTACAAAATTGTACAGTTTGAGTGCCACTGAAGATCCTTCTCATTAGCTTCTCACTATCTTAAAAATGCTAACTTAGACACAATGGATGGTGTTTACTCCATTACCTCCTACAGATGTTGTATTCATCAAGCCTTTCAAATACACTTTTCTTGACACTTGTGTAGTGAGGTGATATAGAATATACTTTGAGTACTAGTTATTTGTCACTTACTACTCGTGCTGTGGGGATTGTCACCTAACTCACCTACTTCTGCTCCCTAATTATCATAGACTCATAGGACTGGAAGGGACCTCGAGAGGTCATCTAGTCCAGGCCCCTGCACTCAAGGCAGGACTAAGTATTATCTAGACCATCCCTGACAGGTGTTTGTCCAACCTGCTCTTAAAAATCCCCAATGATGGAGATTCCACAGCCTCCCTAGGCAATTTATTCCAGTGCTTAACCACTCTGACAGTAAGGAAGTTTTTCCTAATGTCCAACCTAAACCTCCCTTGCTGCAATTTAAAGGACTCCCAGTCCAATAAAGAGTTTGCAAGATGTCCCAGTGTGAGTATCTTATTCACATGAGTGAATATTTTATTCACATGACTACTTGTGACACTGCCTCTGTTTGTGAACATTCTTGTGGGGGAGAAACAAAGTTGCTTATGCCCATGGGGGAAACAAACAAAGGTGGCTGCAAATATCATAGAAGCAATTTCACCAATTGTGTTTGTGAATGTTCTTGCAGCACACGTCCAGCTCCAATCACAATGAAGCTTATGGGGAGCCCAACACCCGAATGTTTTCACTGGCTTTACCTGCAAACACCTTCTCTCTTCTTTTAACTCTTCTCAATAGTTGCTCTTGGTCTTTCACCCTGGATGGGTGTTCAGAATTCTCATCTGAGAAACAGAAAGATTCCTTTGCATGAAAGATCTAGGGACACAGCAGGATTGTTCTTCTCTAGCATCAAGCACATACATTCTCCTTGAATTATGTATTGCCCGACATAGCTTTTAAGCCACTTCTTCCCATCTTCCCCTCTCGAGGTGCCTTCAGAACACAGGCCTTGGGGAACAAATGCAGAGGTTCCCATTTAAAAGGATACCTTTTAAAGACCTACTGAGGCCTCGTGCTGAATGTAAGATCGTTTATTTGCATTGGCCTTGAGTGTGTAATGGTGCTTTACATACAAATAAAGGTCTGGGTTAAAGGTGTTAAGAGATTACCCTGCTGAAATGCCCTATATTTCTTGTATTTATGTTTCAGATTAAAAAAAAAGTTTTATTTATTCTAGGCATTAGAATGAGTAAAAAGAGCTTAATTTCCTATGCCTTCACCTGATTCTGTGATCTGATCCAAAGTACAATAGAGGCAATGGAAGTCCTTCCATTAGTTTTAGGTGAGGCCCCTGCTGCTTACTCCCCTTCTGAAGTCACCGCTCTCTTGTTAGTAACATCACAATTGGTTGCTAAGCAGATGATTATAATGTCACAAACAGAGAAGTGTGATGTCAGCTGAGCAATATGCATCAGGAACATGCTAATGTTAAAAGAACCTATACGATCCAACACAATTCTTGAGCTGAATACGACTCAGTGATTGTAAGCGGCTTTGAACACGGAAAGGGATAAAGATTGTTTTTATTCCACTGGCAAACTATAGAACACATTTCAGACATAAAAAAAGTTTGGGGGCAGAAAGCAATGCTATGAAGCAGCACTTTGATTTGCATTGCATGCCTCACACTCTTGGATCAAGACCGCTTACAACTTCTGATTTCAAAGGACTAAGTCAAGAGATTCACTCACTGGGCTTCCCAAAGCATCCCTCCTCAGGCTTCTGCCATATGAGAATGGTCTCCAGCCAGCTAGGTTTGTAGAAGTCAGAGAATCCAGACATACCACAGAACATAACTGAGGGGGACATAAATCCACAATTCAGCTATCAAACACTACAGCATCTTTACAAGTTCAGCCTCCAGAAGGAAAGACACTCAAAAATCCTTGGCTAATAGGGTCCATAATCCTGCCATCCAGTCCTATTAGATAGGTGTCAGTTTGACAATTTGTAAGTTCCTCTTCCTTCAGGAGGCCACTCATACAAATAAGAGATTGGGGCAGGAGAGGGATTGTGAAAACTATTAGATTAAATAGTTCAACTCCTGGCCAATGCAAAATTGTTCCCGACAGCATATTTTTCTACTGTCTTTTACCCTTTAGTTTTAAAAGTCCCAAGCAGTATGTCTCCCACCACCATTAAAACCAAAAACCTAATTAGCCTGGGGCTATATAAAAGCCTCAGGGGAGGAAGCCAAAGGGGAGCAGAAAGAAAGGGAAAAGGCAGGGAGTGGAAGTAGGGTGGCAGTTCTCCCCTTCCTCCTGCTTGCAGATGATGAAGGGCCAACTGTACATGGTGAAACAGTGGTGGGAACAAGCCTGTGAATAAACTGCACCAGTGGATACTAATTCCAGAGTCGGAGTGATTTTGTGGACTTAGCAGAGGCAGGAGCCAATGAGGCCTTGCCACACTCTGCTACAGATGTCTAAAGACAGGCTTGTAAAACCATGGAGAGGCACCTCAGCAAGTGGTCTAATTTCTAGATGTGCAAAATGCACACTAGAGTCATTGTATGCAATGTTGTTGTAGCTATGTCGCGTCCCAGAATATTAGAGAGACAAGATGGCTGAGGTAATATCTTTTATTGGACCAATTTCTGTTGGTGAGAGAGACAAGCGTTCCAGCTTATAAAGAGCTGAAGAAGAGAGCTTGTCTCTCTCATCAACAGATGTTGGTCCAATAAAAGATATTACCTCACTCACCTTGTCTCTCTAGATTCATTGTCAGACAGCAGCTCTGATTGGCTTCCAGCTGACAATTTATTTAATACTATAGCTTTAGATACGTAAATCCCAGAGTTGAAAATATTGGCCTTCAATTTATAGTAATTGTATATAACAGAAGAACGTGAGCTTATTCTACGTGTACATGTCATCCAGCTGCAGTTAGTGAAGAGATGCAGAATGTAAGATACTAGTTAAATAACCCTTCATGAAGCTTTACATGGAGTATGGTTAACTTCTTTAGCATAACTAATATTTGCTGTACCCTTAGGTTAATATTTCATCATTGCTTGGATAAATAGCTTGATTTTATTATCATAAGTCACAATATGCTCTGCTATTGCTTCACTGGGAATAGGTTACATACTATTTTCCATGAAGAGGTCTCGAGAGGAAAACCTGAACCCAGTACTTTCGATCACCAGGTTTATTTTCATCATGCAAGCACAGAAAATATTCTTGTAATATTGGGCCCTCAGGAACAGATGATCCGAGCAGCCTTTCTAGGTATAGAAGAAAACCAGGGTATTGTATTGCATTTTGTTGTTTTTTTTAAATTTCACATTGGAATAGGGACGGTGAGATCTGATAGTTGTGATTTGCAACTGCAGATATGATTTTGGACTTAAACTCTATGAAATAAGCTAGTCTGAGTATCCCATTCATCAGGAAGTCATCTGCTTGGACTGTGGTCTCTCAATTTATTTAATCTGGGCATCTTTACTAATCCAAAGCGGACAGTGGGGGCACACTTTTCTGCAACCTGGAATGGTATAGACATTGGAAGTACAGAGTGAGCATCAATCCATTGGCACATAGTAATGACAGGTGAGATGATAGCAGCTTGTTCTCCTGGCTATCACTCATAATGGTTGCCCAGTGCCTAATTACAGTTGTTTAAATACTGTATAGGTAAAAAATACCAAACAATGAAGTCTTGAAAACTGAAATGTTGAATGAACGATGGTAGTAATGGCAGTGGGGGCTGCCCCCGGTCATCACGATGGCTGCTGTGCCAAGCCTAGGAAAAAGATCCCCACCATGGAGCTCCCTAGCACCGAGTCAAATTTCTTGAAGTAGACACTAGGGAGAGAAATTGCCTAATACTGTAGGTGGAAGGCCGAGTTGTGAAGGTTAGGGGGGAACATTGGATTAAAACATACAGGTGCTTTCCTTGGTGTCTTATGCAGACCTCCAGAATTTAGGGCAACTGTGTGTGAAGGGAGGGCCCCTTCGCCCCTTCGCTGTCATCTGGTTTATTTGTAACTCTAGATCTACCTCAACTTTACAATGCTCAAACCAAGTAACTTGACCCTCTCTTGATTGGTTAGTTAATTTAAACTTCTGTTGCTTTGGGATCCACCCTGTGGTGCAGTGTGCAGGGAGAATGGGTTTACTTCACTGGAGAAAAGGCCTCTTCATTCTTGCTGCTGGGAATTAAGTTTTTTCCCACCTCTCTACCTTCTAAATTTTCCCTCTGCTCACCTCCTGTCTCTCTCTCTCTCTCATTATCTTTTTATCACTGACCCCATTGCCTGCCCCCCGCCCCAATCCAGTGGGTCATGCTTTAGGGCTGGTTTTGGATTTAAAAATTGAGATAATTTAGTCTGACAGTCCCATTCAGCAGGGAGCCATCTGCTTGGACTGTGGTCTTTCAACATATTTCATCTGGTATTCTTAACTAGGCACTCTGGCCAATTTCTGTGTATAGGTTACAAACATAATCCTCCACACATTTGGTGGAATCTCATTCCTCTCTGCCACATTTTAAGCATCTTCTTGCTGTACATAATCCACTAAAATGATCAGCTGCCTCACAGACAAAACACAGCAGTGGCTGAGCTAGGTAATATGTGGTTCCTGTTTGTCTCCAGACACACACAAATGAGTAACTGAACCAGGTTTCCCTCATCATCCAGGTCTAACTCTGCTATGAGTCTGTATTCCCGGGTCACCTCCTGCCTCCCCACCTCCCACACACACCTGTCCTCTGCCAGATGAGCCCCACTCAAGGTCTTCACCTCTCTTGCCTACATCCAGATACTCCCGCTTCAATTACATTGGAATGAAATCAATATTGGCTGTATTCACCCTAGAACTAAACAAATGGACTACCCTATAGTCTTTCCCTACTGGATCTTCCTCCTTTCCCTCTTAGCTGTTTCTAAAGTCCTTCATAGCTCCTTTCCAAGAGAAACAGATGTTTAATTCTCTGTCTGCAGCTGAAATCCAAAGTACCAGTTTAAGCGGCCAACTTAGAATATGATGGTGTCTCCTGAACAAGTTTGTCCTGTTGCCTCTACACATCTAGTTTGTCCCACATAACTATATTTTGTATGTCCATTTCCTTCCTTCCTTCCTTCCTTCCTTCCTTATTTCTCTCTGGAGTCATTGTTCCCAAGACCTTCCTTGCCCTCCTGCATATCCAGGTCAGCCTTCTAACTTCCCCTTTCCAACCCTGTCAGAACTGCAGTCAACAAACACTCAGAAAGTCCACCCAGCCACATCCCCATGTTGTATCATGTATATTTTTCCTGTGATAGCTGCTAATCCTCAGGTAACAAAACTTGGCACTTACCACATCTGCAAACATGAAGTAGAAAAGCTGATGTGACAGGGAGTAATCTGAGCATCCAAACTTTGTCATGATGTTCCTACAGGCCCTGGTGACAATGCAGGACTTGCCATTATCTTTCCTGTTGAACAAGCAGGACAATGGTAATGAATAGCTCAAGTGTCTGAAGACAAGACTCCAGTAACTAAGTGTAAAGGTGTACTCTCCTCTCAATGCATGTGCAGAAGAGTTGAACTCCCGTTCATCATTTTATGAATGTAAATGCAGGTTAAAGAGGACGGAAGAAGTGCTCCAGAGAACAGAAGTGGTCAAAGAATATCTCTTGATAAGGAATAAAACCTACCAAGTTCCTAGCAAATATGTAAAGCATTTATCACTCATTTCCTTTGTAAAACAGCTGATGCCGTCAAACATGGAGTAGGCAAGTGAGGAGTTTGTTTGGTTCCACGAATGAGGAAGCATCCAAAAATTTCGTCCTAAAATTGGCTCAAATTCTGAAAGCAAATCAAAGAAGAAAACCCATAAATAATGAAGTGGTAGCAAGGGTGACACATTCCTTGTTATTCAACCTTACTGCCTTCTGCTTTGCATTAGCAATGGTAGAACATTTTGTGGAGGGTTCTCCCTATTGCCTGGGCACTCAGATACATCCCATATGCCTCCATTTAAAGATTTGTGCTTCTGTGTGCTTCTGATGAGCCAGTTACTGTGATGTACTGTACCACAGAATCGTGCATTCTCTTTATGTCCAAAGAAATGGGAACAAGGTTAGTCCTTAAAGTCAGTGATGGCCAGAAACAGATTATATGAATCTATTTGGAAGGATTTTGAACCGTTATATCTGGGGATGCAATAAATCAATTGCAGAAAAATGTCATTTTTGGTTTTCAACAATAGTTAAAAGGCCATGCACCTGACAGCTCAGAGATGACATAGCTAGGGAAGACATGACATAAGCAGTGGATTTAGTACAAGTGACTTCAAAGAAACCTGTATCAGAGCCTTAGCGAATTTCCCAAGGCTACACAGTAAGCTGGTAGCAGAGCCAGGAACAGCACCCACAAGTTCAGACTCAGTTCCTTTCTAACCACTAAACACCTTCCTTTCCTAAGTGTCTACAGGAATATGATGCACAGCAGATGCCTCTGTCTCTGATAATTATTTGTTCCTATTCAGAAGCTATAGCACCTGCTTCATAAGGCAAAACAGATGGGGAAAACATTTCCGTATAAACACCTCCAGTCTAAATAATAAATGCCCTTTTGCACATACCCCCTCCCCCCCCAGAATTGGTACCACTTAGTTTTACTTTTGAAATACTCTGGGTCACTCAGCTCAAGAGAATGAGTCGCTTTTTCAATCAGAGAAGACAACTTCTTCACCAGCCTTTCAACTCGGACCTGCTGAGATAGTAATTCATGTTCTGAGGCCCATTTCTCCAGGGCTCCTTTCAAATGAACTGCAGAAAGAAAGACAATGAGGTTTTGTGTATGATCATAGCCTTCAAGTGCTTTTGTATGTACAATAATAACCTGATTGAACTTGTGACAACGTCTCCACTTGGTTAGCGGGTTCTTCACCCTAGAGTATTATCACACTTGAAGTGAACTGTTCCCCTCCAGTGAATAATCAGTTGGATCCACAAACCTATCCCTGTTACCTTGGGAGAAGAAGGGAGGAAACTAAAGCCACATTAAATGGTTGTGATGATCTCTTCAGGGCACTCAGATACCGTAATGAAAAGCATGACATTATTTGGCAGGTGGCACAGTTATACACAGTCTTGCAAGTGTGTGTGTGTGTGTGTGTGTGTGTGTGTGTCAAGCAAATGTTCAGTCCTGGGAGGACAAGCTGTGTTCATTTTTGATAATGCAAGATTCTGTGCAAAGGCAGCTGTCCTTGGAGAAGGAGATGTAGGAGAATTTGCTTTCCAACTTGGGCTCTATTTAGAGTCAACTGTTGCTCCTTGGGAACCAAGCATTGGGGTTGGTCTTAGATTCTTGGAAGGAGGGATTACCCTGCATGCTGTTTGACCATCTCTGTTCCAGGACGTCTATAGGTGGGTAAATAAAACAAGTTATGCTTAGAATATATCCAGAGTCCATATCACTGGTTTCTACTCCACTGGGAAGCTGATCTGAAATGCCCCAGACATCCCCTTCCATACAGAGGAGGGATGCTACTAAAGTCAAAACAGGACACTGGTGTTTGAAAGTAGAATCAACACTCTAAATGCTTAGACAGAGAGAGAAAGACAAACTGTTAATGCCCTGTAACACAGTCAAGGATTTATTGCTGCCAGAAGCTTTCAATCTGCCTCATAGATAGAGCAGCCTAGACTCACACTTGTTCCTTTGGTGGGAGCAGTGTCAAGGGTCAGAAAAGACATGGTAACATTGCGGGTATCTGAAGGAATTGGTAAGGCCCCATTGTCTAAATGCAACTTTAATGGCACCCTCATACCACAGCGACTGATTCCCTGGGCGCTGGTGACAGGCAGCGCCATCCACTAAAAGAACAATTGGTGTCAGTCCTAGTCCCCCAGTGTCTTTCAATCCACACCCACCTGCAAGTCAGCTAATAGCAGAACGGTAGCCCATTGCAGTACCATCTTCCTGGGCAGAATGTCCTGTGCATAGCTTCTGGATGAGTGACGGCCTGTGAGAAGAATCCGAACTTCCCAGCCACAATGACAGCCAAGGTCCATGACTGTCAGGAAGCATTAATGTCTCATATGGGGAAGGCAGTGTTGCCAACTCTTGGGTTTTTTATTTTTAAAGCCCTACCTCCTGAAGTCATGGTATTACATGAGGCCCACAGAGCAGAAGGCAGGGAAAAAGGGAAATAATATATATCATCTAAAATCTCAAGATTTTAAAGCAAAATCTCATGATTTTTTGAGGATCTGACTGACATTTTTTGAACACTTGGGGTTAGCACTGCTGGGAAAATAAGATGCCTCCAAACTCTCATTTTCTGTGCTACCTACAAAAGCCTTGACAAGGGTTAGGCTTCTGGTGTGCACAGCCCACTGCAGATCATGCTGATCCATATTGTCTCATCATTCACTTGTACTCCCTTGTCTGACTGTATCCATCTGTTGTCTCTTGTCTTATACTTGGATTGTAAGCCCCTTTTGGGGCATGGCCCATCTTTTGGTTCTGTGTTTGTACAGCACCTAGCACAATGGAATTATGGTTCATGATGCCAATGTATTTAAAAGGGCTACAGAGATGATCCTGGCATTTACAGGCCGGTAAGCCTGACTTCAATACCGGGGAAACTGGTTGAAACTACAGTAAAGAACAAAATTGTTGGACACATAGATGAACATAATTTGTTGGGGAAGAGTCAACATGTTTTTTGTAAAGGGAAATCATGCCTCAGCAATCTACTAGAATTCTTTGAGGGGGTCAACAAGCATGTGGACAAGGGTGATCCAGTGGATATAGTAGTGTACTTAGATTTTCAGAAAGCCTTTGACAAGATCCCTCACCATTGTCACCAAAGGTTTTTAAGCAAAGTAAGCTGTGATGGGATAAGAGGGAAGGTCCTCTCATGGATTGGTAACTGGTTAAAAGATAGGAAACAAAGGGTAGGAATAAATGGTCAGTTTTCAGAATGGAAAGAGGTCAATAGTGGTGTCCCCCAGGGGTCTGTACTGGGCCCGGTCCTATTCAACATATTCATAAATGACGTGGAAAAAGGGGTAAATAGTGAGGTGGCAAAATTTGCAGATGATACAAAATTGCTCAACATAGTTAAATCGCAGGCAGACTGTGAAGAGCTATAAAAGGATCTCTCAAAACTGGGTGACTGGGCAACAAAATGGCAGATGACATTCAGTGTTGATAAATGCAAAGTAATGCACATTGGAAAACATAATCCCAACTATACCTATAAAATGATGGGGTCTAAATTAGCTGTTACCACTCAAGAAAGAGATCTTGGAGTCATTGTGTATAGTTCTCTGAAAACATCCACTCAGTGTGCAGCAGCAGTCAAAAAAGCGAACAGAATGTTGGGAATCATTAAGAAAGAGATAGATAATAAGACAGAAAATATCATATTGCCTCCATATAAATCCATGGTATGCCCACATCTTGAATACTGCAGATGTGGTCGTCCCATCTCAAAAAAGATATACTGGAATTGGAAAACGTTCAGAAAAGGGAAACAAGAATGATTAGGGGTATGGAACGGCTTCCGTATGAGGAATGATTAATAAGACTGAAACTTTTCAGCCTGTAAAAGAGACAACTAAGAGGGCATATGATAGAGATCTATAAAATCATGATTGGTGTGGAGAAAGTAAATAAGGAAGTGTTATTTACCCCTTCTCATAACACAAGAACTAGAAGTCACCCAATGAAATTAATAGGCAGCAGGTTTAAAACAAACAAAAGGAAGTATTTTTTCACACAACGCACAGTCAACCTGTGGAACTCTTTGCCAGAGGATGTTGTGAAGGCCAAGACTATTACAGGGTTCAAAAAAGAACTAGATAAGTTCATGGAGGACAGGTCCATCAATGGCTATTAGCCAGGATGGGCAGGGATGGTGTCCCCAGCCTCTGTTTGCCAGAAGGTGGGAATGGGCAACAGGGGGTGGATCACTTGATGATTACCTGTTCTGTTCATTTCCCCTGGGGCACCTGGCATTGGCCACTGTTGAAAGACAGGATACTGGGCTTGATGGACCTTTGGTCTGACCCAGTATGGCCACTCTTATGTTCTTATGACTAGTACTCTTGGTGCTACGATAATAGAAATAATAATAATAAATAATAATGCCAATCAGCCTTAAACAAGAGATGGTAGGCCTTTGTTCAAGAAGCCATCACTTGACATTAATATCCTTGCCAATTACTGCACCATCTCAAGGCTTTCCTTTTGGAGGAAGGCTATACAGGCTGTGCTTGGGCAGATCTGGATTCTTCCAGTCAGATCCTTACCAATATGGTTATGTATAATATGTATAATATGGAAATCGTTGTGCAGGTAAAAGATATGTTAATGGCCGCTTCTTGAGCAGGGAGGCTGGACTAGCCAAACAGAGTCCACATGGAAAAAAAGGAGAGTTTGTCAGTTGTCAAAAAAATCCCTGTATTGCTCAAGGGCTCTCCCGTGCCACTGAAGCATGTAGGGGCTGATCAAACAGCTGCAAAATGGTAGATAAACACCAGCTTGTATATACATATATAAGCTAACAGAATGAGGGTGTGCTGCCAACATTCTAACCCCCCTGGGCCATTACCAGCTGTCTATTACCAATACACACTTTCATTCTGTTAGCCTATCTAGCCATGTATAAATAACCCAGTGGGTTCAAACTCATCCTGTGATGATGGCAAAATGCATTTTTAATTAGGGTTTGACCGCAGTCCCTATAAAAAAAGCATAAAATCACCTTTCTGTTTTTCTTTCTTCACTCTGTTTCAAAGATTCTTTGTGACTTGCTTTTCTCCCTAAACCCCCCACCTCCCCACACCTCTATGATCCTCCCTGATGACCAGCTGGAACAGAAACCCCCTCCCTGTCTGTTGTGTATTCTCTTCCTGCACACTCTCCTCACTTTGTTCAGCCCACCTACTCTGTATCCCTCTCCTGGATCTTTTGGTCTCACCTTTCCCCTCTTTTGCGTGTAAGCAGAGTCAGGATGGGCTCCACCCTGACATCTGGTGGTGAGGTGTGGCAAGTTGTGGAAAAGAACTTCAGGGGCTGATCTCATTTGCATAGGCACACCCACCCCACCTAGAATGAGGCCATAACTGCCCAAATGGTCACTTTGGCTGTTGTGGGATCCCCAGTGTCTCTGTTATTGGGGCGGGAAGAATAAATTGTTATTACCCTGATTATGGGAACTGTGCTTGGAACTGTACTTGGCCTTTTGTTATGATGAGGGGACTCACCATCTACTGAGTAGCACTCGCAAGGCAAGGGACATGGGTTCCAAAAGTCTGTGACTTGAGACAGGTATTAGTACCTGGTGGTGTGGGCCCCTTTGTGAGGGCCTGAAGCACCAGTTGAATCTCTGTCTCTCTCCACTGTGGAATGTCAGAGCTAATTTTGGGTCTATTAAGAGTCTTGCTATAGGTACTGTGCTGCATTCACTTTGGCCTTATAGTGCACCAGCACTAAGGCTCCCACTACTATGAGCTGAAATCACTGAGCACTGTGTCAAGTAGGGGGGAGCCAGAAGATCTAGAGTGCAGTGGTGCTGTTCGTGGATAGGCTGGCGGAGTGTTCGTGAGACGGCAAGGTGAGCAGAGCTGTTCATGAGACGGCGAGCTGTGCAGAGCGGAGCTGGTCGTGAGACAGCGGTGTGTTCGTGAGACGGCGAGCTGAGCAGAGTGGAGCCGGTCGTGGTGGAGCAGAGTCGTTCGTGAGACAGCGTAGCAGAGTAGAGCCCTGTGGGGCAGTCAGCTTCAGGACACGTAAGGTGCCCCTTACCTCTTTCCCCCACACACAGGCACATTTTAGCCAGACTGGGGAGTAACACTATGCAGATGAACTTTTGAACTCTGGGGCTGGACTTTTTGGACTTTGGGTGATTTGTGGATTGCTGGACTCAAGAGATGTTTGGGTTCTGGGACTCAAGAACCCGAGGGAAAGGATGTGGCCCAATTTGCTGGGGTGGGTCTTTGCTCATGGTTTGGTTAATGAACACTAGTTGTGGTGTTTCCCCAATTTAATGCTGATGTCGTTTACCTCATGTTATTAAAGATTCTCTACTACACCGAGACTCTGTGCTTGCGAGAGGGGAAGTGTTGCCTCTTTGAGGTGCCCAGGCGGTGTGTAAGATTTTCCCAGGTCACTGGGTGGGGGCTCGAGCCAGTTTTGCATTTGCTTTGATGAGAGGGAACCCCTGTGTACTGAACCCGGCCCTTGCTGCTATCAACTTGGCCTGGCAGAAGGGTTACATGCATCTCCCTCCCCTAGATTCTTACCTCTCCTCCCTCTCTCCATTTGGCTTCCTATCTCTTTTTGTTTCTCCACTGATCTGTTTTTCTTGCCTTTCCTTCCCCTTTTACTCTCCCACTCCCCTCTGCTCTCGCCTGTCTCTCTTCCCACTGTTGTTTGGGTTTCACAGCAAAGCTTACTGCAGACAGTCTGCAGCTGCTCAGCTCTTGTGAGAGCAACCAGCTGGAATCTTCTGCAGTGGAATAAAGTCTCAGAAATGAGGCCGCCTCATCAGAGCCAACAACAAAGAGTGCTGGGAATTAAACTGGGAGAAAGGTATCAAACCTGAGCTGCAAGGTGTGAATCTGGTTCTGAATTTCTCTATAATTCAGGGTTGTCTGGACCTTGGATTTTGGTATGACCCATTGGAGAGATGGCTCTAGATTTGGGATCCTTTTGCAAAGTTTCCCAAAGTTTTGGTTTGTTTAGCTCCTGTTTTGATTTGGAATCATCATATAATTTTCATTATATTCCTTCTGTAGGCTTCTAGCTGGGGTAGTTTTACAGTTTGAGACCCCCTTATGGACCACTAATGAGACACCATGGTACTCTTCTGCTAATGTGATCAACCAGTGGTTCTGCCATTAATCATCAAAGCATAGCACCACTGAGGAGTGGCACTCTCAGGTGTACTTTGCCTTCCTGAGATACCTCTGCTCTTCATCCCATGCTCTGTAGACAGAGTGTAAGAGTCAGTTCACACACAGCTCTGAGCAGAGGACCGAGTACAGAGGTGACACAAGATTGGCTGGGTTTCAGAAAAGCACCTCTGGTTGTCTATCATCATGTTAGCAGGATAAATGTTATCTTAGCAACAATCCGTAAGCCCCCCTCTCCATCCCTTCCAAAAACTTCATCCTGCCAAAACCAGAAGGGTTGTCATGACTCATGCACTTCATGGTCCCTTATGGGCCCATATTTTGCTATCCTGTGATGCTGGGCTATTGTTGCTTCACTTAAATTCCCCACACAGCTGCTGTCACTGACAAGCCAAGCAGCACCATAGATATTCTCACTTATTACTGGCTGAAAGCAGTTGTTTTTTTTTTTAAAGCAAACATAAAGTCAGTAAGTGCAGCACTTGGGATCAAGAAATGCAAACACTATGACTGATTTGCTGTTGAGCTCTGTTCATGCCCGAATTATGAGCCAGATTCTGATTTAATACTTGGATAAATCTACTGACTTCATAAAATCATAGAATATCAGGGTTGGAAGGGACCTCAGAAGGTCATCTAGTCCAACCCCCTGCTCAAAATGGAGTTCAGTGGAGTTACTCCTGATTTACACTAATATGAGAGTAAAATCTGACCCAAGTATGGACCAGATCCTAGCCCCCTGCAGAAGATGGTTGGCACGCATCCACAGGCATACAGTAGATACATAGGTTAGTCAGTCAGCATAGATAGCTCTACAACTTCTTCTCCTAGCCTCTGTCCTCCTATCCCTGGGCAAGTGGGTATTTGGGGAAAGGGTCATGGCCAGAACACTGCTTTGATCCCCAACCACCAGCATGGTCGTGGGGTGGCACTGCATCTGGGTACAATACAGAGCAGTAATACTGGCTGCTTCAACTTGCCCTAGCCCTACAATCTTGGAAGCATACAGCTGATGTTCATCTACCTTTGCCTCATCCCTGTTGGTCCTGCCAGAGGAGTATAATATCCAGTATCATCAAGTAGATGAAATATTCTTTCTTCTGCACATTTCATCCTATTTCCCCCTCAAACATGACAAAAACAAGCTGTGACACCTTTTAAAAATGACAATAACCTGTGCTTCCCTAAGGACATCTGCTCAATACAAAGGACAGCTGGAGCACTGCTGTTTTCTTTTAATTTGAGAAACTGATCATTCCAAAATAATTTAAATGGGTGTAAATGTATAAATTGAGAGCCCTTTAATGGTGCTATCAGGAACAAAGGCTTGTTAATAAAAACAGTAATTTTAAAGGAGAGGGTTTCATATCAGGGTAGTATGACATTTATAAAAGCAATTGAGTTACAGTACCTTGCAAAAACACGAAATCCCAACACTGCATCTAAATTGATGTCCCTGTATTTATTTGCCAGGAAGAAAGTTGTTTTCTCTAGAGCAGAAATGATAATGCTCCTCATATCAGCCTCACTTTTTGACAGATCAGACTTAAAGAGAAAAATCAGCAGCAAACAAACAGGGAACGACATTTCTGCTTTGCTAGTTTGCTTGGAGAAGATTGTGCAACTCAGAAGACGTCAGTTGTTCACTGCTGTGCTGGGTGACTGGTAGTTTTCCCTTCCCAGCTTAACTATTTTAAGTGTGCTATGGTCTCAGTGAACATACGCCTGGGCCAGCACAAGGGGAAGGAGAGGGGAATGTGTGGTATTTGGAGATAGGGGACAGAGAGGAGGGTATGTGATGGACTGGGCGGGCCCCCAACTCGTATAAGATGTTTGGATCTTATTTCAATGATGGAAGTTAAGAGTAGCAGGGGGCCTACTCCAACTTCCAAAACGGCTGGGTGGTTGAGGGATCAGAAAACAGCAACCGACTCACTCACACCACCACTCTGCACTCAGGTGCTGGGGAGACTTGGCCCCTGCATTCAACCATTCTTACTGTTGCTTGGCCATTCCATTCACCTTCAACCTTCCTTGCCACAGCTGTAACATGCTGTGATGTGTTCCATTATGCTTTTGTGCAAACAGCCTGGTACAGAAAATGAAGTGTGTGTTTTTTTTATTACTGGGGGGTGGGGTGGGAGGGAAGAGAATCCAATCAAATTTCTGTCCAGTATATGTGATCGCCACAGCAGCCTCCCAACCAAGTATTCACCAGCTTCAACGCTGCTTTGCTTCTGAGATCTGACATGTAGTAAGGTTGCTTATTGTTGCAAATTATTGTATAGATTACAAAAACAAAAAAACTGCCTTCTATATGACCAGCAGATTTCTAAACCAAGGATTTTTAAACAGGATTAGAATGTCAAGAGGGATAAATTCAGAATACTTTCAGAAAGGCAGAGGTCGATGGAGCATTTACTGGTTTCAGCAGAGAGCTGGTTGGTCACATGCTGCTGGTTCCACTTTCTTATTTCTGGCAGCTAAATCACATTTAAAGGTGTTAAAAGTACATTACTTTCCTAATATGACTTTCCCAGGTGAGCAATTGCTGCAGTACCCACAGCAATGGTTTGTGAATGAGAGGGGAGCTGGCTCCATGAGTCTGTGTATTAGCATGTGGTTCACACTATGAAGGGGTTTGTGAATCCCTTCTATACAGGTATATATGAATCCATTTGGTTCTGTGCATTCCCTGAAAAGCCCCAAATTCACTAAGGAAAATGTCCCACTTTGCAACTTCCAACTAGCAGCCAATAAAACTGCTTCATGTGAAGGCTGTTCCATGTAAGACCTAGATTTGAACCCAGATCAATTATAGATAAGAGAGAACCATAATTTCTGCAAGACTTATAGCTCCACTCCTCTGGCATGGTTCCTAAATACATTAGCTTAAACTATAATTTAAGAGAGAACATCCTATTCCTAGAAGCAGTGATTCTTGCTATTAGGACACAGTGTTGTACACATAATTTGATGCACGTGAAATTAAATATGAAAGCTCACCTCCCCGCACACAACAGATCTTTTTCTGCTCTGATAACCACTCCGTAAACGTAATCCTGCAAATATTAAAATGCGTACATGCTACAAACATAAGAGAAAACTTCAGATTTGTTAATACTAAGTTAGGCTAATTCATATAGTTTCCAGCTTTGGTACCACACTCTTGGTTTTCCAAACAGGGCATCAATGGGAGCTAATGCTACAGTACTTGGCACTTTGCAGGACTGAGCTCCAGACAGAGTGGTTAGTTCAGCCCTGTGAACATGAGACTCCTCCTGTCTGAGCTTCTAATCACACTTACTGACTGATGTCCAACTACATGACCAATTTTCTCCTTGAATTCTAGAGATATGGAACGAGCCAGTCCCTCTTGGAACAAATACTGGTTATCCAATAGGATAGAACACCCTACAGACACTCAATGTTATTTTCCATCCTGTCTATTATCAATGCCTATGAATGCTTCTCCACCTGCTTAGCTGAAATAGATCCATACCCAAGATGAACCCCTGTAGCCATTTCTCTAAACTGTATACATCTGAGTGCTTCACCCTACTTTAAGAGCCTTCGGACCTGTGATCTGTTTAGTAGCTCCACTGTGGACCTTTCCAGAATTTGTGCAGTTGTGTAAACTGTTGACAATAACTCTTGATGAAAACCACACTTGGGAAAGACTTTTTTTGTTGTTGGCCTGGTCCATCAGTTCACAGTGCACGCTCATAATTTTAAACTTGCACATTGTACACTTCTGTCATGTCATTTTTCAGTGACTCACACCTTTTGAAATCTGAAATAACTTAAATTAATGCTCTGAAAAGGACTGGATATTTTTAGTCTAATACTGCTCCTTGAGAGTTTTAAGTATACTGACATTCATGTAACGAAAAGGCCTTTAATAAAAATCTTGCTGTCTGTATTACATTTACACCAAAAGACACTCCAAGGAAATACCCCGGATTTACATACATTTTCAGAATTATCTATTGTTTTTATATAGTTTGTTTAATTTTAAGGAGAAAAAGAGCTAGTTTTTAACGGAGCAATTATATAATCCCCCCCCCATTGTTCCAGTCACAACGAGCTCAGCTGTTTCTGGCGACATGTACATGGCACTGAAGGGAAAGCAGACACGTTGTTGCATCGTTACGATTCCTTCTCAGATTGTGGGCTGTTCTCAAGGAAGAAATCCGCAACGTCTACGTGCCACACACAAGCGCTCGCAGCAATTAGCCCGCAGCCGCGGGGCGGGGCGGGGCCGCTGCGCAGCCCAGGTCCCGCCCCAAGGGGCTCCCCACAGCCCCAGCCCAGCGCGGCTCCACGCGACCTGGATCCCGCGAGCGACTCGCTCCTCCCGCTTCGTGCCCGGCTGCGTGCGCCACGGGCGTCCCCGCCTCCCCCTGGCGTCCCCGCCCCCTGGGCTCCGGGCCTGGCCCGAGCAGGCAGCCTCGCTCTGATGCCAAGATGGCGGCCCTTGTGAATACGCTCTAAGTTCTCTGCGCGCGCTGAGCGGCCCTTCCTCTCCGTGCCGCCTCCCCTCCCCCCCCACGTCAGCGTCACAACATGGCGGCCCCCGCGATGCTCCTGCTGCTGGCGGTGGCGGGGCTGGCGCTGTGCGCGGCGCTGCTGTGGTTGCGGAGGCGGCCGGCCGGGCCCGAGGGGGCCCGAGGGCGGGTGTGCGTGGCGGTGCTGGGCGACCTGGGCCGCAGCCCTCGCATGCAGTACCACGCGCTGGCCCTGGCCCGGCGCGGACACGGCGTCACCCTGCTGGGCTTCCTTAGTGAGTGAGACCGCTCCGGCCCAGCTGCCCCTGGGTCACCCTGCTGGGCTTTCTGTACCGGTCTGGTCCTGCCTCCTCGCCCCCTTCGGACCAGGTCCTGTCCTGTCCTGGGGCACGGCGTCACCCTGCTGGGCTTCCTCAGTGAGTGAGACCGCCCCGGCCCAGCTCCCCGCCAGCCCCAGCTTGTCCCCCCTACTCCAGGTATGGGGTCACCCTGTGGGGGCTCATCACAGTGTGAGACCTGATCCACTCCCCCCACGCACCTCTTCTGGTCCCGCCACTCGCCCCAGGCATGGCTATGGTGTCATTCTTCTGGGTTTCCTCAGTGAAACACCCAGGGACACCTTCAGTCCCAGGAGCCACATTGACCCATGCCCAGGGGTTTGGAGCCCACCTCTAAGCTGGGTCCAGTGGGGACCAGTGTAGATGCCCACATGTTTAATATCAAGCCACTGAACAGCAGCCACCAGTCCCCGATTAGCCTTGTTCCATACTAAGATTCATGCCCCTGCCCCAACCTGGGGGCAGCCTACCAGAGTGGCAGTGGCCAGCCTTATATTACAAACGTAAGCACTTTTCAGATGCTTACACTGACACCTCTAAGCGTGCTGCATCCCTGTGATCCAAGTGTTCCCTCGGCGGGGTGATTATTGGTCCCAGTATGAGAGCTGATCACTGGTTCCTTCACTCGGAACAAAGTACCGCCTGCTGCGTATGCTCATCTCAGTATTCTAGATGTTCTCTACTTTGAACTGGGTCAGTAATTGTAGGGATGTGTTTCATATTAAAATGGAGTTTTTTCTAAATTTGCTCTTGCTTTACAAGTTTAATAATATGGCCTGTTATAGTAACACTCTTGTATGTGTGTTCAATAAACATCTGGCTGTAGAACAGTTTCTTTTTCTTCCAGGCACAAAGCCACACAGTGATATTTTGTGCAATGAAAAGATACACATTGTATCTATTTCAGAACTTAAAGTATTGCAAGGTAAGTCCCATGAGTTAGATGATTTTTAGTTGTACACGTTATCAATATTTCAAATTCTATTTCTGTTCTGAAGATATTTATCATTATTGTTCAGTGAAAACCAATTCTTAGGGTCTGAGTTTAGCTTCCAGAGTATAGTGGGTATCATTGCTGCTTTTAAAGAGGGAGGGAAAATTTGCACTTTCATACAAGAGTTCTTTAAAAAAAAAAAAAAAACGGTTGGCACTCTTTGTACCAGAGTTCTGAACCTGGCTCAAAATTAGCATATTAGTTTATCCTACATGGAAGCTATATACACTTTCATCGTGTTTAACAATATGAGCACTCGCATGAAAACTTGGGCAATGCCTTTAACGTAAATTGGCCTACTTCTGAGCAAGTGGTTGGAATTACATGTTTATGCTGCGTATATCTACTTGCATGCACTATGAATTTATCTTTTTTCTAAAACAAAGACCATGAAGTAATGTGTTAATTTTTAAAGAATGCCATCACTTAAAAAAAAAAATTGTTCCTTATATATGTTGATTCTAAATGAATTTCATATTTAGGGTGTGCTATGTGAAATTTTGACACAGATTTCTGTCATTTTACAGTTGGTCCTAAGATTTTCCAGTATATTACAAAAGTTATTGCACAGGCAATACAACTGTTCTATACAATGCTGAAGATAGATCGGCCATCTTATATTCTTCTTCAGGTATATATGTAGATATATAGCTA